TACTTAAAAGGGAAAAAAACATTTTTAAAAGGAAATTCTACGAACATATCGAAATTATTAAAACTAAAGAAACACACAGAATGAACTTAAATACTGGTACTGTCATAAATGACATCTGGCAGCCTTTCCTAAGATGCAAAGCCCATTAAAGTTGTCCTACCATCCTCCCACCTTAACCCCCACTGTGCAATTCCCACCAACCTCTGTATATGTTACAAGGATCCCTCACTTCTTTGTAACATCTTCCATCAGACCTGTCCTCTACACATCTCTTCTGTATTTGTCACATCCTACAGGTATTCCGTTAATTTTTCATAATTTACACCTTTTTAATATACACTTTTTTAGTTTTGTGCATACCACTTTTTATTTTAACACACATTATACTATCCTCAGGTGCATGTATATTGATCTGATAGCACTATTTGCTCATTCCTCCTCCCGTGTTTAAATATGTGTATATATATCTTATGTGTAATACCAGCTTAATGGTCACTATCTCAGGTAATTGTATTTTATCATATAAATCACTGTACGCGTATACTAATTTTTTAAATGAATTCTGTAAATTTTGATACCTGTAACCAATTTGATAATTATGTAATAATAATAGGACTGAAGAGGGGCATTAAGCCCGAAATGCATATCCGTCCAAGTCAATAAAGCAACCTTTTTCCTCTTAAAGTGTTCCTGTATGATACGTTCTCAACAGCAACATTGTGCTAACCAAACACATATAATAGAGAACAACAAGCAACCTTGATTCTAGCATATTTGTGTTTTTCGGAATTCGAAAGTTTTGAATGGTAGGCGAATTTAATTATTTGTAAAATATAAATCGTGTAGTTGTGGGTTCACCGGTGCACGAATTCCGTTCCAGATACTTAGGGGTACGTATTAATCTGCGCGATGTTCACGTTTTTTAAAATTTGGTCTCGACAGACGTAAGTTAATTCGAGATGGCGATGCGTGAAATACCGACCCCATCGGTGCTTATAATATGGAATTCGTCTATCTTTTGTAAAAGTATGTGGTAAAAATAGATACCTAACACTAGGAGCATTATATTTGCGATTTTTGTAAATGATTAGCTTCTTCTTTGAACATTTCTTTATTATTATTATTAAATCATTTTTGCGATAAAATATATAATTTTGTAATTATTTAACATTCTCTGCACTTTCCTATTTGTTTTTGGATACATTAAAGCATTTTTTGAAAACGTACAGTAAGGTTCCGTATTACCACCCGGTTTTTCCTAAGCCTACTTTCTGACTTTTTGTACGGAAGCCTTCAAAAACCATACTTATAGTTACGCTAGCAAAAAAATCTAATTAGGAACATTTAGTTTAATAGTTAGTTAGTTACCGGTACCTTACAAAAACTGTGGGTGTAGTTATGATACCTTGTTTACAACTCACTATAATGAAAATGGGGTTCCATAGTACCACCTTCTCCTCTAATATCTCGGTTTTCGTCGGCGTGCCCGAGTGACCTGGCTGCTAATTTTTCCAAAACAAAGGTAGACACACGCGTTTTCCTGCTCAATGTGGCGTCTCTAGCCAAACGATCCCATCGCTTTTCTTTCCTTTTTGCTCCATCGCGGGACCAAAGAAAGTTTCCAAAGCCAGCGGCCCTTCGAAGAAGCCGGGAACACGATAGAGTTGAAGAAATTTGATGATCGTTGAAAAATACGAGCTTCGTTAAGATTGCTGAAATCGGCCGCTTTTTTATCCATTTTATATTAATTTCTTGTTTTTAGTATTAAACACTAAATTTATTCTATATAAAATGGTATATATTTTGGAGTTGTCTAGAACGAATTAATTGGATTTACATTGATTCGTGTGGAAATAATTGCTTCGGTTTTCGTCGGTTGTTTACGGACGGATTATCGACGAAAACCGAGTTACCGCCGTATTTACTTTGAATATACCGCAATGTCCGCGTAGAGCAAAGTTGGAAAAGCACTCGCGTCGAAGGACGACGGCAATTTGATTCCAATCCCGGACGTTTATCTGTGGCGACATTCTTAATTAATTAAAGTTCTCTTGTAAAGTCTTTTCTTGTGTGTATATGTATGTATAGTATAGTATATATTTAACACTATTGAGCTTCAATTCGAAAAAGCTGTAGACCTATGAATTCCCACTGTCTTCCCTTTTCTATCTGTTCTTTCTTAATCTCGAGAAAGGAGTTAGATAGATGTAGTGTTACCACCCGTCCGGGTGAACTATTACTTTTGTCCGGGAATTTCGTAGAAATTGTGAAATTACGATGAAACAAAGTTCTTGCAAATATTTTACAAATTTACACTATTTTAACGGCGAAAAAACTCACATTCACTGAAACTCATCCGCAATTCCGCCATGTTAGTCTATTCACGCCGACGTGTGGCGCGCAGCAACCTGTCGACCTTTTTTTCTATGAACGATCGTACACGTCTCAAATAGAACTAAATTGTCTGTACACTAACTGATTTGCATGAACGTTATTCTTCGCATTGTAAAATGACATTGCGCATGCGTCAGGAACTTCTGTTCGAACAAACCTGACCTCCCGTCCGGGTCAGCGATTTTGAAAAGGTGGCAACACTAGATAGATTAATGTCGAGAACAGATGTAGAAAGCTTAGAGGCAGGAGGCCCGGATTAACTATATAGGAACTTCCGGTTTAAAACGGAAGTAACGTAACTTCGATTCAAAATTTCCCCAGAAAGAAGTTAGAAAAATGACCGGCATGACTCTATTGTTAAAGGAAAAGTATGATGTACAGGGGCAAGACACTATTAATTCAAGGTGGAGAGCATATATTTTAAATTATCAATAAATAAATTAAAAATATGATCTCCAGATGCAAATTAAAAATTGCATCTGGACATTGTGACTGTGTCACAATAAATAATTGTTCGTGTCATGTATTTTCTTTTGGAAACATGGTAATACTTAATATTATGGGATTCTTTCCTCCAGACTCCGCAGACTGGCAGCTAATGGTTCTCAAAACATTATTTTAAATAGCACTGCTCTAAAATGGACACGAAACATTTGTATATGTGATATGCTTTGAGGCATCATTTCATTTTTATTGTTACTGTTTTACTATAATGTTAAGCGTACCATAGAATTTGTTGTTAATTTTGTCCTTTTTGAATATAGAATCTTAATAAGTTAAGTTAAAAGTTACTGTTAAAAAGAAACTGATAAGTTAATAGAAGTAGTTAATAAGTTAAAAGAAACTGATGCAAGTTGAAAGAAATCTTAAGAGTATTTTGGTTACTCATCCTGTCTTATACTCGAAAGAGATGAATTTCCAGAATATTTAAAAGATATGTGCGTATGGCTTTTATTAAATACT